ACAATTTTTATAGGTACATGGAACGTCCAGAAAATGTGGAAGACCGCGAAGACCATTCAAATAGCAACGGAAATGAGGAGATACAACTTGGCAGTACTGGGAATCAGTGAAACCCATTGGACCGAAGCTGGACAACAAAGGCTAAATACGGGAGAAATGTTGCTATACTCCGGTCACAAAGAGTAAAATGCTCCACATACTCAGGGAGTTGCTCTAATGCTGTCCAAAGTAGCACAAAATGCACTTGTAGGATGGGAATCTCACGGATCCAGAATCATCAAATTATCATTCAAAACAAAGAAGGAGGAGATCACAATGAACATTATTCATTGTTATGCACCCACCAATGATAGCAACGACGACGTTAAAGATCAATTCTATGAGAGGCTGCAATCAATCATAGAGAAGTGCCCAAGTAAAGACCTCACCATTCTCATGGGAGATCTAAACGCCAAAGTTGGAATAGACAACACCGGATATGAAGATATCATGGGACTACATGGACTGGGAGAGAGAAACGAAAACGGGGAAAGATTTGTAAATCTGTGTGCATTCGACAAATTGGTCATAGGCGGCACAATATTTCCACACAAACATATACACAAAGCTACATGGACCTCACCGGACCACTCCACAGAGAACCAGATAGATCATATTTGCATCAATTAAAAGTTCCGAAGGACAATGAAAGATGTGAGAAAGAGAAGAGGAGCGGACATAGCTTCAGATCACCACCTGGTTGTGGCCAAATTGAAACTGAAGCTAAAGAAGAACTGGACAACTGGACAAACAGCAACACAAAAATTAAATACAGCCTTCCTTCGAGATACTGACAAACTCAATGGATTCAAGGTAGCTCTCAACAATAGGTTCCAAGCCTTACAGGATCTGCTGAAGGAAGAAGAAACTACTATAGAGGATAGCTGGAGAGGCATCAAAGAAACATTGACTTCAACTTGTGAAGATTGATTATGAGAAGGCATTTGACAGTGTAGATAGGAGGACGTTATGGAAACTTCTCCGACACTACGGAGTTCCTGAGAAGATTGTCAACATTATCCGGAACTCATACGATGGACTACAGTGCAAAGTAGTGCGCGGAGGACAGCTGACAGACGCATTCCAAGTAAGGACTGGAATCAGATAAGGCTGTCCACTCTCTTCCTTCCTCTTTCTTCTGGTGGCCGACTGGACTATGAAGACTTCAACATCTGAGGGAAACCACGGCATACGATGGACAGCTCAGAACCAATTAGACGACTTGGACTTCGCAGACGACCTAGCCCTCCTATCACATACACACGAACAAATGAAGATAAAGACAGCCAGCATAGCAGCAGTCTCTGCATCAGTAGGCCTCAACATACACAAAGGGAAAACCAAGGTCCTCAAACACAACACGGAGAACAGCAATCCAATCACTCTTGATGCCGAAACTCTGGAAGATGTAGAATCCTTCACATACCTGGGAAGCATCATCGATAATCAAGGAGGTTCAGATGCAGACGTCAAGGCGAGGATTGGCAAAGCTAGAGCGGCATTCCTTCAACTGAAGAACATATGGAACTCAAAACAACTTTCAACCAATATCAAAGTCAGAATCTTCAATACCAACGTCAAGGCAGTTCTACTGTACGGAGCTGAAACTTCGAGAACTACAACGACCACCATCAAGAAGGTACAGGTATTTATTAATAGCTGTCTACGCATGATACTCAACATCCATTGGCCGGATACAATCAGCAACAGCCTTTTGTGGGGGAGAACCAACCAGCTTCCAGCTGAAGAGGAAATTAGGAAAAGACGGTGGAAATGGATAGGACATACATTGAGGAAATCATCAAACTGCATTACGAGACAAGCGCTAACTTGGAATTCTGAAGGGAAGCGGAAAGGAGGAAGGCCAAAGAACACATTACGTCGGGAAATAGAAGCAGATATGAAAAGGATGAATAAGAACTGGAAAGAGCTTGAAAGGATCGCCCAGGACAGGGTTGGATGGAGAATGCTGGTGGTTGGCTCATGCTCCTTCACGAGGAGTAACAGGCGTAAATAAGTAAGTAATGAGTCATCAAAACTAATTAGTTTAGATGACCAGTTATTAGTATTCATCGAGTTAGCATGCTATGCTTACTAATCAATATAGCATTACGATTATAGATTCACATAAGTAAAAATCGATCGGGAATTCAAAGTGATAATAAGGACTAATAGTAATAGGTTACGTTTCTTTAGTCGGGCATACCAATGTATAATCGTGATTAGGGCCCAGTGCCATTACAGTTTCTCTTTATACGTTTTTTGGAAATCAAAACCCTTATGAAAGGCAGATGTAAAATATGCGATTATTTTTGGTGCTCGAGTATTGATACTCCTGAATGGTTTTAGTTCATTGACAGCTTACAGTGAGTTATTTATGTACTTACGTGCAAGTGCACTACGGATTTATGTCTATGCGTCTGTCGCGTGGGGATTAAGTTGTTTAAGCCGCGTCATCAGAGGATGGTCGGCCTTGCATGTTAGAATATCAAAATTAAAAAATTGAGGTGCAGAACGTAAAGAAAGGCAATAGTCCAGGCAAGTACTTTTATTACTCAACAAACATATACAAACGTGCAAGAGAGTCTGAAAGATCAAGAAGATAAGAGTTGAAGTGCGTAGAATGAATTAATTTGTAATCGTAATAGGATTAGTTATAATAACTGATTAAACGAAGAGATACCTAGCGTTTGGTACAAATAAGTCCCGAAAGCCTATTCTGCATTATTTGATATTGTGATTAATATAGAAGACGATGTTACAATTCACCTAACCTCAAAGTGATTGACAAATAATGAAACAACGGCGAGACTATAATTTATGGAAGAACCAGTTAGATTTAGTAAAACAGGTCTTGGATTTTGGCGCGAAATTTACTCACCCATTCCTCCAAATAGGGTCATGGCATTTTATTTGGCATCAATTTGTGATGAAAACCATAAATCTAAATCTTAACCCTTACCATCAATTGTAGATCATCATCTTTATTCCTCAAACTGCTTTATAACCTTCGGTTAGCCCTACAAAGTAGGTGGACACTCTCAAGGTCACTTTGGCGTCGCTCAAAAGTCGTCCATAAATTATAGTCTCCCCGAAAAAAACTAATCACACAGACCAGTACCCGAAATTTCCAGAAGGTTTACAATGGAGGTTGTTGTGCTGTCATGAACTACGGTTGTTCGTCTCTCGCAACCTAGGGGCAGACGCTCCTCATCACATGCTGCTTTGTGGAGTTTTCAACCGTCGGCGATCATGCTGAAGAGTAGGAATACGAGAGTACCATAGAGATCTGTAGTTTCGTCCTGTGTCAACCCATTGAACCCGGTAAGAAGATGCAGTGATTTCGTTTAGAGCGTTATTTTGTAATAAAACGATAACGTCCTGCACCTGTTGATGAGATTAGAGGGAACGAATTATCTAGACTGACTACCGGAAGTTTGTTAATTGGTGGCTTTCTTTGTACGTACTAACATTTCTGTCACCCAACCATGTTGAAGATGCCGGGTATTCGTAGTTTGACAACGCTTTAACCAGTAACACCTAATATGGAGCGCACCCACCAAGTAAAATCAAAAGACAGAAGTGAGGAGATCGAAGTTATATTTGATAAGATATCAATATATCGAGGATCGTATGCACTAATCTGGTTAGCGATTGCGACAGATGTTGAGCACGGCGTTCCCACACGTGATCTGGCGCGGATGCTTGACCGAGCGCCTTCAGCTAGATGAGTCCACTAAAACTGTGGTCAGCATCTAACGTCGAAAACTTACAGAGCTATTTAATTTTGGGGAATTATTTACCGCTACAATGTTACAATGCATTATTGACGAACAGCTAGTCTAGACTCTGTTCATCGACTGGGTCCCGATATTTAAGAATAGCATTTCCTTAAATTGTCATAAGGTTCGGAAACACCACTAACAAACACCTTGTGAGTAACTTATTTTTGTAATTCCCAGAGTAATGGTTTAGGCATTGCATGGAACTGAGCATATGGGTCAATCAGGTCGTGCTCGCGGATGTCAGCTTCTCAACAGAAAAACCAGGTTCCGATGTTATCATGACGGAATAAAGTGAATTGCAAGGCGGATAAGCGTGAGAAGCCTAACCTCCAATACTTTAGTTACATGTCTTGACATAAAAACAATAAAATGTATAACTGCGGAAAAATATCCCGATATACAAAAAGGTGTCACATGTTAGTACACATATATATAGTATTGCAACAAAGAACAAACTGACAGTATATCGCTTAGTGTACCAGATCACAAAGATTTGGACCGTGACACCTTTATTATCGAGGATCCCAAACAAAGCCTAAAATACAAACTAACTTGAAATATCTAATCCTTTTCCCTATATCATATCGTAGAAAGCGAGGCGATCTTATATTAAAAATTAAGGAATTATTATTACCTTGCACCTTCCAGAACTTGTGATCACCGAGATTACAGCAGGAATGTTCAGAAAGCTAGATTAAACAACTTAATACGGTCAATGAATGGAACGTTTAACTCAAGTGGTATCAGTTTCATCAGTGAGCATTTTCAAGAAGAAGAATCTTGACTGGAAAAGGAGTTTCAGAGATTAATTTAAGCCTACAGATCTAATATTCTGTAGATGCCTGACCGAGTGCCATAAGGTGTGTTCAGTAAAACTGTTGTCAGCATCAATGTCGTAGACTGACATAGTTATATATATTGAAGATTTACCTACCGTCACAAATATACCAAGGTCCCTACCTGGGAAATTCAGTGGTACGGAAACCGGTAAGGAGAAAGGTTCTTAAATTCGATTCACAAACGTTTTGCGTATTTGACATAATTCCACTTATTCGCGCGACATATAAATGTATTGCTGAAGGAGACCTGCCTGTCGCTTACACAGGTGTATTCTTTGAATTTTTTAGAAATAGTAGGTACCTATATTCTGAATACTATTTTGTTTCAAAAGTATCAAATACTTTCCCCGCATCAAGTATGTGTATGTTCGTCGTAACAGTACCTTTAAGTAGTTTTAAATGAATGGAGAAAACCTCGAAATTTCACCAAATTCGGAAGATTAGGTGTCTTATATAACACTAATCACAAATCAAATTTTGTCAGTAGTCTATACATCTCATTTCTTCCCGATGTTGTTCTTTGAAGATTGGTATAATAAAATCCCCATAGGTTCAGCTCAGTATAGTACCCAAGCAGTTTGAGTATCCAGACTGAATGTTCGTCAACGTAGGTTAGGAAATATATTAAGTGTCCTTATCCATTGACTACCTTGACGCGCAGTTACAACTGGTGTAAGAGTTGGTTAAAAGAAACCAGTTCATGTAAACATCAACTGATGAACTTGGCCATCTCGGTAGGTGAAGGCTACCTGGCTGTGGTTCACATGGTCATCATAACCAATGATCGGAGACTGGGTGACATGGTTCAGATACTCTTTGTCTTCTCTTGGGTCTGCGGTTTCTAAGTTATCGTACAAACTCGTCTTTTTCCCACTAATGCATTTTTGAAGATGCGATTTCAGAGGCATCGATTGATACATTATCTTTTGTGTTGCCACAGCTATTATAACCACTTCTATTGTTATAAGGATGGTCCCTTCAATTTTGTCTTGCTGAACTATTGGAGTTCGTCAGCTAGAATTAACGTACTCATGTGACAGGATCTACGTTGAATATGACTGACCAATGTTCGGTGAATGAGTATACCTTTTATGTTGGCAATATATTTACTCTTGTAATAGACCACCATCACTAACCTTAGATTTATTTAGGGCTTTTCGAAGCAGCGTTAGAAACTAGTATTACCCTCAATAGGATAGTCGATTCAAAGTGATGAATGGTTCAGTAAGCTCACTTGTATTTCTTTTGTTTGTAGCTGAACTTTATTATTGATTGTATTATAAATCAACAAATAGTATCAATCCCTCTAACTAGGTAATGAATGCTAATAATAATAATAGAGTGTCTTATTACGTACATAAGTATATGAGTGCCGTGATGTTTTCGAAGCGAAATCTGATTTAGAGACTAGTCTCTAATCTGAAGATTCCGTAATCTGAGCGCTTGCATTTGTGCATTTTTAAAAATAAAATGTAACACTATTCTTCGTTTTTAGGTTATGATATGCTCAAAATACACTTCTAGTAAGTTTCGATTACTTCTATTTGCAGATTTGTTCCATAATGTGTTTCGCTGGGCTTCCAGTCAGGTGGTTCTCAATAGTACAAATATACCAGACTTAAAAGGACCGAGGTCTTTGAATGCTGTTGCAGAGAAAACCCCACAACCAAATATGTAATTCTTATATTTCAGCCTAATGAATGAAGTTTGGGCCATCATGTAATTACAGAGGAATGTTTGACTTCATTAGTGGAAGATAAACAATATTACGAAACCCCCATTCTTCATTTGCTCTCACGGAGAAACAACGTGATTGCAACATTAACTGACTGTAATGGACGAGTCCTGAATGGCACTAGTTGTGGTGCCGAAGGTTTTCGGAACGCTCGTAAAATGTCTACTGTTGCTTTTCAAACTGTGGGTATCTCCATAGGACTGAAGGCGAAAAAACTTGGGATTGGGGCTGTGCGTGTTGTATTTAATGGGTTAGGGTCATGTAGGTTGGTAAGTATTTCCTTGCTTTTTGGTTAACCTAATAGCCTGTGCTCTCAGGTTTGAATATCTCGGGACTAAAGATGATCTCTCTGACGGATGATACAAAAGTTCATTATGGCCATGGAAGAAGACCTAGAAAACAACGTAGGGTTTAAAAGGAACTTTCATATCACTTAATGTAATCATAGTAGTGGGAGTGTACATAAAATAAACCCTAAATTTTGGGCCATTTGTGAATCTTCTGTGTGTAGTTGCAAATTACTTTTCAAGTTTATGTTAATGAAGCGTTTAAAGATTCTATTTACTGGCTAGAATGTTGGTCAAACTGCCACATTTGATATAAAAATGCATCACTACTAATGAAGATGTGTATCTTATCGAAAATCTCAGAAACTCAAGGCAATTGAGAAAAGACGCTTAATTAGTTCTCTGTCCAAAGTTCTTTCCAATAAAAGTTAACATGAACTACCAAATAATTGTATTACTAATTGCTGTATACTTGAGCTAGGTAAGTATTGAGGTAAGAGTCCCATGGGATGCCACCGGTCACTCGTTATAACTTCAATTTTACTGAGGCCCAACTTTCATATGTACTAACTACTTCGGCAATTCCATGAACACGTGAGAAAAGCAGTAAAATCAACCACAATTCGCAGTCGCAATGCGCACCATGGAACAATGATTCGTGTAAATGCAGTCGGTCCCGAAATATTTCAAATGAAGTGTGGTAATCAGCCCTATGTCTTTTGCATTTTGAGACTACTATCTGCACATTTTATTTCGGTTAAAGATCTTACTGGTCCTGGATACAAAATGGTAACGTTAATTGCCAGTAGCATAACTTAGCATAAAGTTTCGGTACTAAGTATATGTTTCTAGGTTGCGGTTGAATTTGGCATTCTGAGATCTGATTAAGCTTGCGACGCTAAAAAATATGCAGGGTCGGAAGAGATCAATAAAATCGGTTGTTGACACTAGAAATAAATCTAGTTATGTATTCAAGAATGTTTATTCGATAGTAGTATTTATTTGATCATAAATTAATAACCATATTAAGTGGTGCAATCATGCTAAGTATGATTGTACCTAACCTTTCCTTAACTCATTGTCTTAGAGAAAAACGCCAAAGTATGCATCCTGATGCACAAAATGCACTTATAGGATGGGAATCTCATGGACCAAGGATCATCAAAGCCTCATTCAAAACAAAGAAAACGGGGATTACAATGAACGTCATCCAATGCTACGCGCCTACCAACGACTACAATGAAGACGCTATAGATCAATTCTACGATAGGCTGCAGTCAATCGTCGAGAATTGCCCAACAAAGGACCTGACTATTCTAATGGGAGACCTAAATGCCAAAGTTTAAATTGACAACACCGGATATAAAGAGATCATGGGACGACACGGACTCGGAGAAAGGAACGAAAATGGTGAGAGATTTGCAAACCTATGTGCCTTCAATAAACTGGTCATAGGCGGAACTATATTCCCACATAAACGCATACACAAAACCACATGGACTTCACCGAATCACACCACACAGAACCAAATCGACTATATCTGTATCAACAAAAAGTTCTGGAGGACATGAGAACAAAGAGTGGAGCTGATATAGCATCAGATCATCACTTGCTGATCGCCAAGATGAAATTGAAACTCAAGAGGCACTGGACAACGGGGAGGACAATATCACAAAAATTTAATACGGCTCTTCTTCGGGATAATGACAAACTCAATAAATTCAAGATAACCCTCAGCAATAAGTTCCAGGCCTTTCATGATCTACTCAATGGAGAAGAAACTACTATGGAGAGCAACTGGAAAGAGATAAAAGAGGCAATCACTTCAACATGTCATGAGGTTCTGGGCCAAAAGAAGCACCATCACAAGGATTGGATCACGGTCGATACACTGGATAAGATTCAAGAAAGCAGCAATCAATACCAGTCGAACAAGAGCAGAAAAAGTCAAGGCACAGGCTGAATACACAGAAGTAAACAAGCAAGTGAAGAAGAGCATCAGAACTGACAAACGTAAATATGTGGAAGATTTAGCAATGACGGCGGAAAAGGCTGCCAGAGAAGGAAACATGAGACAACTGTATGACACAACAAAGAAACTCTCTGGAAATCACCGCAAACCAGAACGACCAGTGAAAAACAAGGAAGGCAAGATAATCACCAACATTGAAGAACAACGGAACAGGTGGGTAGAACACTTCAAAGAACTCTTGAATCGACCAACCCCACTGAACCCACCCAACATCGAAGCAGCACTCACGGACCTCCCAATCGATGTTGGCCCACCAACAATTGAAGAAATCAGCATGGCTATCAGACAAATCAAGAGTGGCAAAGCAGCAGGACTAGACAGCATTCCAGCAGAGGCACTGAAAACAGACGTAGCGGCAACTGAAAGGATACTCCAAACTCTCTTCAGAAAGATCTGGGATGAGGAACAGGTACCGAAAGACTGGAAAGAAGGACTTCTAGTCAAAATACCAAAGAAAGGCGATCTCAGCAACTGTGACAACTACAGGGGAATCACTCTTCTCAATACCAGGAAAGTCTTCAACATTGTATTGTTAAACAGGATGAAGGACTCCGTAGACGCACAACTTCGCGACCAACAAGCAGGATTCCGTAAGGATAGATCGTGCATAGACCAAATTGAAATTCTACGGATCATTGTGGAACAATCAATTGAACGGAATTCATCACTCTATATCAACTTCATTGACTACGAAAAAGCATTTCATAGCGTGGACAGAACAACCCTATGGAAGCTTCTTCGACACTTTGGCGTGCCTCAGAAGATAGTCAATATCATACGGAATTCTTACGATGGATTAAACTGCAAAATCGTGCATGGTTGACAGTTGACAAAGTCGTTCGAAGTAAAGACAGGTGTCAGGCAAGGTTGCTTACTCTCACCCTTTCTCTTTCTCCTGGTTACCGACGGGATCATGAAGGCGTCAACATCTGAAGGGAAGCACGGGATACAGTGGACAGCTAGGATGCAATTGGACGATCTAGACTTCGCAGATGATCTGGCTTTTCTATCGCATACGCAACAACAAATGCAGGAGAAGACAACCAATGTAGAAGCAGCCTCAGCAGCAATAGGTCTCAATATACACAAAGGGAAAAGCAAGATTCTTCGATGCAACACAGCATGTAACAATCCAATCACAATTGACTGAGAAGCTTTGGAAGATGTAAAAACCTTTACATATTTGGGCAGTATCATCGACGAACACGGTGGATCTGATGCAGATGTGAAGGCACGGATCGGCAAAGCAAGAGCAGCATATTTACAACTGAAGAATATCTGGAACTCAAAACAGTTGGCAACCAACAGTTCTACTGTATGGGGTGGAAACCTGGAAAACTACGAAATCCATCATCCAAAAGATACAGGTGTTTATTAACAGTTGTCTACGCAAAATACTTCAGATCCGTTGGCCGGACACTAATTGCGACAACCTACTGTGGGAGAGAACAAATCAGATCCCAGTGGAGGAAAAAATCAGGAAGAAGCGCTGGAAGTGGGTAGGACACACATTGAGAAAAGCACCGAACCGAGTCACGAGACAAGCCCTCACATGGAATCCTCAAGGTCGAAGGAGGAGAGGAAGATCAAAGAACACAATACGCCGAGAAATGGAGACAGACATGAGAAAAATGAACAAGAATTGGATGGAACTAGAAAAGAAGGCGGAGGACAGAGTGGGTTGGAGGATGCTGGTCGGCGGCCTATGCTCCATTGTGAGTAACAGGCGTAAGTAATGCATCCTGATGAAAGCTACTGGTAGGTTCACGTATTTGTTCGTTCGAATCATGAGTTTATGTGCACTAGTGATTTGGAATCTTAGATCCCCAACATTTCTAGGCACACTCTCCGTATCCATCAATACAGTTGGAACATAAGATACTTAACTTCGCCTTCTTATTTTTATCACTCGAAGATAGGCTCTATTGTGTAGAAAATTATCGACACGACATCCCTAAAGCTGTGAAAACAGCAGTGGCTTCTATTAACAATTTATACCAAAAGATTAAATATTAGCGGCGTCTGCTGAACTAATTGATAGGTGCTCTGAAACTTCCATCTAGTTGCGAATATGAGAGGCGGAGGCAGCTCACACGTAAGCTGACAATTAACCTGCACAGTGATCGTAGGCAATGGTGAGTAGCGAATGCAGGATAGATGGAAGACAGCGGCGATGGGTGATACTAGACAACTGTTCAGATTTGTCAAAGAATGTTATTAGGGATCCGGCTATTATTTAGACTATCTCGGAAAAAGAGGGTACTATTATTCACTCTTAATCCAGGAAATCGGACTGATGGGGGGCAGTTAGGTTAGCTAAAATCTGGTACTGGAAGGAATCTTATGTGATTGGTCACGATCGCCTGTCGTTCCAATCTGCAATCAAGGATGAAAATCGTCTAACTCATAGTGTCTAAAACATTAGCTTCAGTAATACTTTAACACCTAACTAGAGCTCATAAAGAGAAAACCAGCTGGTTTAAGATTTGCGTGTGTATATACACTCTGGCAATTTCTGGAACGTGGACATACTGTCCAACGTCCCGTTATAGTTGTATTCATTTACCTTGAGACAGCGTTCAATTTCTTTGATCGTGAGGTTCTGTGACGCACTGGAAGAAGTACAAGACATTGTATAGGCTTTCTACACGAACACTATTGGTAGAGTCAGGGCTTATAACGAAACCTCATCGGGACTGGTTACTGAGCAATAGTTCGCTCTGCTTTGTAAACGCGAAACATGGCCGGTAAGAGTAGAAGATATTTGCAGGTCATTGGCATTTGACCATAGGTTCTTTCGAAGTATCGCTCGTGTATTTCGCAACCACAGAGTAACCAATTCCTAGGTTAGGAATAGAATACTAGATGAAAATGGGAAGTCGATCAATGATGTAGTAAATCTTCAAATGAGTTAACTGAGGCATGTGTTACTTATCTCCAACCACTGCCTACCTTGATTGCCAATGTAGTCTGGTACAGCAGTAGATTGGAGGAAAGCTAGGGGCGGGCAAACTAAAATGTAGCATCAGTCCATGGAGTCATTGAAAATTAGACCGAGCTATAGTGACAGATGCAGGCCACCAGGTTGGGGTCCGTACGATTGCCGTAACTAGTGGTTGCAGGTGCATGCTTGCTTTATCTTCTCATAATTTTCCCGAGTCTTATTTTCGATGCCTAATCTCTCGTATTACCACTGATACTGTTGCTACCTCTTCTCCGGGATTCGGCCTGACAGCTTCATCTTTTCGCCGTAACGGAGTGTGGTAACTTCGACCTAAAATCACTAAAGTTATTTTCCTCGAATCGGTTAATGGGTACGTGTCGCACGAACCTGGGATGACTTATCATGGCTTCTTTAGTCTTGATAATTTTCAGTCAAGAGACTCCGTGTACGAAGGACTCGGTACAAAAATTGTGAACCACAAAAACCGATACTACCAGGTTCTACATGCATCAAGCGTTTACGTAGTAAGAAGCGTTGACCAGAGCACGACAACCTCATGTCGTACATAAGTAGCCCTTTGCAATATGTAAAACAGTATCCGTAGTTCATAAACTTTATTTCGCATATTCAATAAAAATAAACTATAACGGGTTTGGTTGTAAATTTAGTAAGAAGATGCATCATTTTCCCCACATATCGTTACGTCCATACTCATTGTAAAATCTCTTTGAGTATCAATTTGTTCGTACTTTTTATGTGGGAAAGTGCAACCTAAACAGCAGAATGTGAAAACAGTAAAGAAAACTAAACGTTACGGGATGCAGAAAATGGAATTGTTAAAATAGATAAGTCGACTTAATTGGAGGAGTCTTTTCGGTGTATTTACCGTGAAAACATTACGCTGTAATCAAATCTTGATCATAAGCTTTAGAATTTCGACATTATATGTCTGACCTTATTTTTATTTATGGTCTCACATCCATAAGTGACGTCCTCTGATTAGGTTTAGAGAACTAGATATGTTAAAAGGTATGTAGAAGCAAGTAACATGGCCAGGCTGTATGTTTCAAATGAAGCGTGGCTGACCCGAACGTAAGTGTACGTAGTCAATCAGATTTGATGTGATTGAGTGACAACGTACAATTACTTGGCTTCGAATCTTCAAGCAATATGTTAGCATCTCACTCATTTAGTACAGTTAGAAAGCTTATCAACGGCGAAGCTTGCGCGTTGAAACGTCTACCCATTATGATTTTCCCATTTAAACACGTTTATTAAAAACGGATGGGTGGCGTACATATATCTAACGTTCTGAATAGATTGATAAAACTTCGCATAACAACGTCAAAGGGAGCTGGAAACTATTCAAATAAATGAGAAGCAAGAGATATGAAAAAAAACTAAACAGTAATATACTAAGCAAGATTGATTCTAGGTTTCCGGAATTCCAGTTAATACGAAATGTCAGCTCCTCTATTATCAAAGTGTATAAATATGTTTACTGCAACATATAATTATAATTAGACGTTTACGGCTTCAGAATTATCCTTTTTACACCACATATAGCGCTTTCTGTGATATATTCATCACTCTCGTCAGTCTAACGATGTTTTGTAACGACTTTAAAGCTCAAGTGAGACTTGAACTAATAATTCCTTGATAGGAAGGGTGTGCTTTTGGTTTAGTCTCCAAACGCTTGTGACGCAATTTTAACTACGGAGTGGAACCTAGGGCTGTGTAGTAGGACACGGTAAGAATAAGACAAAGCCACATACGTTACCGCAGATGTTATTGACTGCCATGCAGATGATCCTGAACAACTTGACACCAAGAGCTTTGGTATTTGGAGATTTGTGTGTTAGCAGCTAGTAGTATCCTCAGTTCCAACTCTCTAAACCGGTATCTATAATTACTGTGTGGTTTGAGTATTTGCAAATCTGACAATCCTAGTGAATTAATTGTAAGCCTTGGAAAATGTTCTTAACAAACATTCTACAAGGATGATAGTGCTCACCTTCCTTTCTTACAAGCGATGAAATCACACTAGTATCAAGTGCAGACACACGTAAGCGACTTGCATCCAGAACATTACATTCCTGAAATTGAGTATCTATATCACTCGATAAATTAAGTTGTTCATCGGATGTAGTGTTTGACTGATGAGTTTTTGGAATCGCAGGAATCTCATCTTTTCCCGCAATGCATACATTTTCGGGGGAAGATATTGTTTCTTCGCTTTCTACCTGTATGTTTATGTAGGAAACTGATTTAAAACTTACTGTTGATGCCCTTAGTGCGTTTTCTAGTGTTTCCACAAGAGAAATGTTGTAGGAACTGGATGTTTCTTCGGCCCTAATAGACGTAGTGTAGAGAATCTCGACAACTTACATTTCTCTTATCACGTCAGGGATCGCTGTGGGAAGTTTAAGGTTTAAAGAAGGGGCTACTTACCAGTCAGCTTAAAGTTTTCAGCGCATTTCACTTTCCACAACTCGATAAAGGCGTGTAGCTTTTCATTTTGTGTTATATGTCGGTCGTAATCATCTAGTCTTTGTTTGTATTCCAGGATAAAGTCAGTTCTTTCTTTTCTAATGTGTAGAAACTATTCATTTAGTCAAGAGAAGTCTCATTAAAATATATGCCATGAAACAGGAAGCTTCCAAGACAATAATATCCTCCTGATAATAATCACGCGAAGTAGACACAAAATTGTCTGTCCTTTAGCATGTAGTTGACTGGACTATGTCGAATCAGACTCAACATTCGGTCATTTATATGATCGAACTGTGAAGTCCTTGCCGCGCAGTAAGTTCATAGATGTGCCCAAAATGACACGTAGTTATGCACCTTTGAGGAAAACCTTTTGTATGGGTGTTGATTATACTACCCAGACAGATAAGTATGAGTTTTTAACTGGGGTTTAACAGATATCGCTTGAACCCCTCTACAATCACAGCGATCTGGAAAGCAAAATAAATACTACATATCCTTGCCCAGTAGTTACGCAACACAAGTGCACGTGTTCGAATTTACCTAGAACTGGACTTTAAACAATCATCTTTAACTTGTGTACAACATTTTGAACCTCTTTTATCTTGAGAAAAACGTAATGTGAGTTTTTACACATGCATAGATCACTATTTAGTTTCTGGAAAAGTCTCGATATTCTCGAGAGCTTGTTTCAAGTCAGCTTGACCGACTAGTCTTTGAGATGTCTTGTGTCCAGAAATAGTATGTGCAGTGAAGTCTCCTGAATTTTTAGCTACACATTAATTAGCAAAACTGCAAATATGCGATTGTCAAAAGCACACTTCTCTAGTATTAGGCACCAGAATATGATGAATCGAGCTCTCTATCCTGATTTAATGCTATGCACCTTTCAACAGAATCCCCTCTGCCCAAAACAGCATGACATATTGGACATGTACACAGGAATGGCCAAGTCATCTAATTAGAAGGAAGTATTATGTTTACGTATAAATCTCACTAGTTATAACGATACATGTTGAATTGATAGGTATATCTGACTTTCCATATTTTTAGCACAATTCCAAGGACTGAAATTAAGCACTAAAGTAAAAGCTTATTACGGAAGGGTGTGTTTTTGTTCTCCGTAAGTAACGATTATGGGGACAGATAATGGTAGTTTGTACATCTAGACGCGTTAATGATAAAGTACTTCTTCGAACTTATTTTTTAACAATTACAATCGTCTTAATGCCGTTTCGGTTTTTTGGCTTAATGAGTAATTATCTTAGGTAGAACTTAATGGTTTTTTTCATGTACTACAATTATCAATTCGTTGAAGTGAAACAAAACAGTGTTAAACACTGAACGTAAAATGTTATGAACAATGAGCATACCTAATTCGCTCATTGCTGCTCATGATCTCCGAGAGGATCACGTTAAGGCAACGGATTTGTTCATTTATTACTTCACTGACGTCTGACAAACTACAGATTATGAAATATGTAGGGAAAGCGTTATTTTATGCCTGTACCCACAACTGTTATCATCCGGCTGAAAATATGTCTCCTCTAAATTCCTTAACTCCTCCTCTAGATGCTTCTTGAACTTTTTTTGAGACTCAGCTTCTTGAGTTAGAGAAATTAACTTTTGTTGAAGATCTGTAACAGTATAGAAATACAAATTAACCATACGGGATATATTGTTTTTTTCCAGCTCGACCTGACTGAAAAGTTGTTGAACCTCGATTCCTTGATAACATATATGTTACGAAGCTTAACATTTACCTATCTCTTTTACCAGACGGCTCAAGTCAGACATTACTATCACCCGCGTACTAAACGAGTATCATTAGTCGATTCAATAAAACGTTTCAATCCTAAAGTCCAATTTTTAATCGAAGAGCTGTGATAAATAAATTATGTTAATTTATTATTTGTTTATTTTCAGGTTTCGGCATGTTTGAATGCAATAATTATTGCTACTTATTCTTTAAAACGTTTTCTGACAGTTGTGCAAATAGGAACGACAAACTTATTTTGTCAATAGTTTTTGGTATTATTTGCATTTATTTTGTTTGTTCTCATAGTTTGTACATTTTCCACAAACGGCTGTAAAAGTTCTTAGGTGCATTTGACCTTGAACTCTTCCGTTTCGAACTGCTCATAACACACACTACTAATCGCTCAATAATACACTGCTAGACACACGTCTCTCGTTCTCAATTGCCTGTTGTTATGATAAATGAATTATAAAAATATCTATTATCTACTTTTATAGACTACAGCCATATTCCCGCTGTATACTGCACATGTGCTATATCATTGGAATTATTATAACCCCACTGGTATTATTATTTACTTATAATTGTGCATTATGGGACCGAATGCAGCTCGAACACGTCAAAGCCTGTTCATTTAAGTAACGTTACATAACTTTCATTTGTGTTTATAAATAGTAATTGGTTTATTATAAAATTAACCTGTGGACGTAGTAACCTTATTGTCATTTTTGAGTTAAGTTGATTTTTGGTCCATCACAAAGTGTAATCTAATATATAATTATAAATGTGTTCAACCACATTTCGGTAATAATGATACTAGATCTTAAGTAAAGCTCTGACCATCTCTTTTAATTCACGTGGTTTTGCGCGGGTGAGCTTTTATGAAGGTTAGAAGTATTCGAAATAATGTGCTAACTAAGAATTCTCAAAATAGTTCAATATAAGGAATGCAGAACTAGATGAACATAAATGAAGGTATTGTATCTTGTATTCATAATCAGCGGGTTATCAAGTATACATGAATCCTTAGTTTGTGCAAGTACCACAATTTTATTCATTTTAATGTTTTGCGAGAACATGAGTTGTGTTCTGAGCAATTTTCCGTGAATTTAGAAATTCTAGTGAAAAGAATTTCGACGTGGATGAGTCTTTATGCTAGTGCTGAGGCCAGAATGATAGACTGGTATAGCCAGTTCCGTGAAACCGATTCATAAATCAATCAGTACAAGCCTTCTATTGCGGGACAAAAACTAGATTTTATCTCCTTGGATGTCGGCATGCCAACTGTCATAGAGTCTCACTGGTGGCGAAGTTAAAATTAAATAAATTTTATTTTTCTTATGAAACTGTGTTTTCTTACCGTTCAAATGTATGGTATAAAATTTTCTAAATTCTCAGTAATGCAAATGGACCAGCACCGGAAAACTTTCAATTAAGTACTTTAATGAGTTTAGCAAGTCTTCAGTGAAGGGCTAATTCAATGGATGGACGTGAAACAACAAAACAATATGAGCAGGGAATACTAAGGTGGTAAACGTAGCTACAAATGACTTACAGAACAACTGAAAAACAATTTGTCCTGAAGGCACAATTACTTTTACTCCAAAATGTTTTCGAATTTCAGTTATAAATAATCAGGACCATACATTAATAAAGACAAAAACGATCCAAACGACGCAGAAAAATATTCTGACTGAAAAGCCAGGAGTATCATCGTTTAAGTAGCCTTGGATATGTCATCTTTTTTTGGCGATTTGAGAACAAGATATTCATCTATTTAAGCATAGGCCTGTTACTCAGATAAGAAGGTATCTTTCTAAAGGTTCACCTATAATGGTAACCACTGGAGTATAAATGTTAGAAAAAGGAGATTAACCATCATTTGTAAGCCTCAATGACATCTCAGAATAGAACGCCGTTCAGAAATCGCAAATAGAATGAAAAATGAAAATGAATCGAATCAGAAAAAATATGCATAAACATAACGATAATAAAAGTGCGATAAAAGTTAAAAGTGCAATTTGTGTTGTATTTGAGGATGTTGCCTTCTTCCTTGTGTTTGTTGAGGCATACTGATGCAGAGGCTGCTACTACATTAGTTATCTTGACCTTCATTTGTTGGTGTATGGGACAGAAGGTCTGGGTCATCTGCGAAGTACAAATCGTCTGGTTGCATCCAAGCTGTCCATTTTATTCTGTGTTTTCCTTCAGATGTCGAGGTCTTCATAATCCAGTCGACCACCAGAAGAAACAGGAAGGGAGAGAGTAGACAGCCTTGTCTTACTCCGGTCCTCACTCGGAATGCGTCTGTCAGCTGTCCTCCATGCATGACTTTGCACTGTAGTCCGTCGTATGAATTCTGCATGATATTGACGATCTTCTCAGGTACACCGTAATGTTGAAGAAGGTTCCATAAGATCCTTCCATCCACATTGTCAAATGCCTTCTCATGGTCAAGGAAGTTAATGTATAATGACGAGTTCCATTCAATCAGTTGTTCAACAATGATCCGTAGTATTGCGATTTGGTCTGCGCATGACCGATTCTCACGGAATCCGACCTGTCGATCTGGAGGCTGGATATCTACTAAATCTTTCATCCGGCCCAATAACACTGTTAAAAGTCTTTCCTGGTACTGATAGTAGTGTGATGATTCTGTAATTCTCACTCTTGTAGAGATCTCCACCCTTTGGTGTTTTGATGATGTATTATTCTTTCCAGTCTGCTGACCATTGTTTCACCCAAATATTCCTGAGTAGAACGTGATGTGTTCGCAGTTGCCTCTATATATGGTTGACCACCGTCTTCCTATAAGGAAACTTGCATTATTCTGGGTTAAAAACCCTTTGCTTGTTTACTTGAATTCGTTCCTTAGCCGCCAACATCAAAAGGTCAAATTGTCTTTTATTCCGGATGCTGCTGTGGTTTGATAAAGGTTATTGTTTCAGGCCTTGTTCTCTTTTTATTGTATAACAATTATATTTGCAGTTGTCTTGTATATGTAGGCCTTTCCTGTATACAGATGATCCTAAAGTAGTATGATCACTTTTTCCTCATGATATGAACAGTATGTAAAATTGTGTTTGTATGGAGCTCAGCGATGTTGCCCAATAGTGTTCGAAACGGCAATTGGAGATTCACATGCCTGAATGGGATAGATATACTTTGGCAATAGATTATTCAACCTAGATCTTACCATAAATGATAGTGCATTATCTAAGTTACAATCAATAATGGGCTTGGGACCTGAGTACTCCTACAAATCGCCCTTCACAGAACAGGACTCGGAACAAACATCCAAGTCCCGATGTCCTCTGAGTTGCATAGTTCGTAACCGCCAATACCGACCAATTTTCCAGGTTGACGCTTTATTGCACTATCTTGTTGATTTATCTAGAATTGCCTAACATTTTGTTAAGTTTGAAATTACTGAACACTGTACTTTGGTTAGTTATATAACCCATCGTGGGATGCAATATCCATTTTGAATGTTTTGTGTGAAAATCCCTCCATGTATACGCTTGCAGTTTATTCTTATCGATACCTTTAGTTGTACATTTTTGTTAGTCTTTTTCATTCCATTTTGAGTTGATAACATTTGTATTTTATCATAGTTTTTATTTTTCTTACGCCTTCACTAAGTTTCCATGTTTCTTCCCGAACTGCATCTATGTTGTTTTACTTGTTACTTAGTCTTGGTGGCAGCCATATTCGTTTGTTCCTCCTTTTAATCGTGTTTCGTGTATTGACTGGAATTGTGCATTTTTGATTGTGAATTGAAACACTCTTCCAGAATTGAAAACACTTGGTGTTATAAAGCAAACAAGCATTATCTTTTGAACGAATCTGTGCGTAGTCTATCCAGGCAGGATAGAATAACATTTATTTGTTGTGATTGGTAATTTTCTCGCACCGTTTATCAACTTCCTTATGTATTGTAATGTAGATTTGATTAATTGAACTATTATTGGTTTGATAGCTGGGTGGTCACATTTGTTTAGGTAGCAATGTACATTTAAATTTATAGTGAATTTCAGCACGTCATTTTACCCGATTACTTTGTTTTCGGTTTCAACCGGGCAAGGGCGCGTATCTAACCCACCAAGACAGCTATTCTTTAATCCAAACCTTAGTTTGGATCTTACATAGGATGCCACTGTGAAGAAAAAAGTCGGGTACAGTTAAGTTTGTCTACGAAGAAGATGGTATTAAGGTGTGTCCATCTGTTACACTTTTATTTCACTGATCTAGATTTACCGATATTTGGAAGTCCAGTCTTGCGGTTGACTGTGGTGCTAACAGTCTAAAGTTCTTAGCAACACCACAGATTTCTCATGTAACAGATGCACGCCATTTTCACAGGCATGACTTATAGATTAAAACATTGGTTTACAGATAGGGCACTGCTCAGGTGGGGTTATTGGTTAGATAAAATCACTGAAAGTAAATGGAAGTATCTGTGCATCTATACTAGCAAGTTAACAAACAGGCTTGTATGTCGGTACTGTACTATGAGCTTAGAGCTGTTATGTGTTTAGAGATTGAACCTCGTACAAACGGTGACCTTGTGAGACCCACATCTGGCACAAGCTATACATTCTCATATTAGAATCGTGGTGTTCCCAAGTATTTGCTCAATGGCACTTTATTAAGTCTACAAATGTTGTTAAGTGGATATTCAAGAAGGCTTGATATAAGCCATGACCATGAAAATCGCATACGCCATGTCTGAGTTCCACGCATATGAAGAAGCTCTATGGCCGTGCGTTGCAAACCTGATGCTGAAAAAAGAGGGACAAAGCATTATCTCTTGTTGGAGTGAAATGAAGTCAGAGGCTTTATTTAAGAGAATGTAGAAATAAAGAACAATGAATTGTGATGTTTAACAAGTTGGAGTAAGCTCACATGAAGGAAGGCAAGTCAAGGCTGGTGCAAGGAAAGCGGTTTATTAGAAGGGAGTACGCATATAGAGGGTGAAGTGTTAAGAATAATAATAGCTATATCTTCTATTGTCTGATTTTTTCTTTCTTTTATTTTTCGTCTATCCGATG